GTAAAAAAAAAAAAAAAAAAAAAAAGTAACAAAAGAAAATTAAAAAAAAATTGCAAAAGAAAATGTTTTTTAAAGTCCACCGCCCCCACATACAACGCAAACACGCATTGGATACGCCCATGTGCAAAAACAAAAAAATTGTGCCACACGTTATATATAGTCGCAAGCGTCGGAGAGCAATAATTCTAGGCCCATCAATCACTGTTACCGCTAAACTGATATGCCGTAAAAGCGTTTAAAGCATCGCCTATGGGAAATTTTGGTAATTGTAGTAGTTTATTGCGGCTTCACAGACACACATAATTTTATGGCTTGACGTGTTTGGTATCCATTTACCCGGTGTGACCCCATGTTTCATATTTTACCAAAAAAAGTGGGCAATATATGCGGCTTATGTGCACTAAATTTCATTTTAGTGTATTTTATCCTAAAAATACTTGTTTGATAAACCTTTGCGCAAATACCATGTGACATAAAAAATTGCAACTAGCATCTTTTTATTCTACTGGGCCTCTGCTTTCAGAAAATATATAATGGTTTGAAGCGGTTTTCTAGGCAAAAATTCTGATTTTATCATGCGTGTGCAAATGTGAGAAATTGCTCTGGGCAGCAAGTGGTTAAAAAAAAAATTCACACAGATTGACAATTATTACTTATTTCGGGTTAACAATCTTTTTTTTTTTTTAGAAAGTCTCCTCCACTAAAAAGATAACATGAAACATCTATCAAAGAAATTACCCCGGGTGGTGGTTCAGCATTTGGTGGTTTCACAAAAAATGGTATTCTTCCCCTCTGCCAGTCATTAAGAACCATCTTTGATACAGTTTGTCGGTCTGGTTCTCCACCCTGAAAGATAAAATCAGAAAATAGCCTATGTGTATAAGTTATTCAAAAGAGGACATCATAAGTTACCTGTTCTTGCTTCTGCAGCACATCCTACCAACAGGATCAGCTCCTGGAGTCCCCCAGATTCATATGCAAGTTTTACCTTTCTCAACATTGGGATAGGCATAATCCCCCATCCCCTACCTAGGGCCCCATGATCGCCACCAATCAACGCATTGTGGGTGGCAGGGAGTATCTATATGTATACTAGGGATGCCAAGTATTTGAGGTATGCTCTTCAATAATGAAACACCCTATATATCTCCATAAGATATCCAGATAAGAAGCCATTCAATTTATATAAATGGGCTTACAAAGACTTTGGACATACCTACAATTTGTAAAAAAAGAACAAGGCAACTGGACTTGCTGTATTTTTATTGGACGCCTCACTGTGAAACGTCTTCAAGAAAAATACAGCTGAATGAGAACCTTCACAGACATACCTACAATGATTTTCCTGCGTTACCATAGGGTGGTAATGTCCAGCAACTTATATTCCATGATTATTTTTTTATCTGGTTAATGGAAAGGAATCGTGCTAACCTTTAACAATTTCCCGGTTTTAAAAGCTAGCTTTTCAAGGAAATCCTCAGCATTTTCCCATGACTCTATCTTGTAGGCCTTGCTTAGGTACTCTGGTTTGGCTCTCTCAAGAACAGCAGCAATGTGGTCTTCTGGGCATTTAATCTTTTCCACTTGTACCTAGCAGGAAGAAAAAACAAAAACAAAAAAAACACTTTTAAAACATTTCCCTAGACATCTGGAATCAGAATTCTGAACCAATACATGTCTATCAGCTGCAAGTCAATCAACCACAAAAACTGCACAATGCATAAAACAAAACGCACACACAACTCCTAATACTTCAAGCAATTGTGGTTCTGGTGAGGTTGTCGTCTTCCCTCGGCAGTGGGGAATTTCCTAATGAGAAAATTCACTTTTTTGAAAAAAATAAAATAAGACACATTTCTTCATAAAAGAAAAAAAACGTGCATTAACTTTTTTTTTTTTGCATAAAAACCAGTAAAGCATTGCAATCAGGAGATCGCAGGTGCAATGCTCTGGCTCCATGCAGACAGGTATGGATATGAAGTAACATGAACGGTAGGGAAAGGTAATAACCGCACTTGTATTCCTTTTATAACTATAAGCCCCTCTGCCGCCACGGCAGACAGGGCTCGTAGTTCCTCCATCTTGTGGATGGATGATGCGGCTGTCTGAGGAGCCCTAAATATAGGTTTAACATGAAACATGGTCAGAAATGTGAACTTAGCCTTTTATGCTTCAGAGAGTGGAACCACACTGACGTCATGTTTCCCTCTGCAATCCGGGGTTTAGGTACAAAACCTTGAGGCCCTGGGCCTACAGAAAGTGGCTTCAACTGGAAGTGGAGTGGCACTACATCGTTGGATAGCAAGTCTCCAAACTGGAATTGGGTTGCGCTACCCTGTATATCATCTCCTTATCACAATAACATCCTTTTTTCATGCATACTTACTACTACAGAAAAGGTAAGAGCAACATCGCGACTCCACAACCTATTATCAGCATTCAGATTATGATGCTTGGTATACTCACCACTCCTTTCAACACTATGTCTGTTTCCGAGTCTCCAGATGGATAAACTACACCAGGGCAATCAATAAGAAATATCCGACGCATAAGCGTGATATACTGCCAAACCTACAAAAGAAAAAAGGATCAAGTCAAATGCAGCTCATACATGGCATGCAAATGCCCCATATCTAAATTTTTAATAATGGTGTATAAATGAAATTCAGTTCAACAGCTTTAAAACGGACCATATAACAAAAGATTAATCAGCCCTAAACTAACAAAACATTGTTGTAGCATATCAAACAGAAACCCTAAATATCCATAAACAGATGCCCATGAATAACATCACTTTTATGCTCACTCTTCATGTAGATGACTTGTCTTCCTGAACATAGTTCACTAGGCTGCTAGAGCATTCAAAGAACTTGGGCCCATGAAAACTACTCACAGGACTTTATGGGACCGCATGGGACCAAATCCCTCATTGAACGGACGGGGAGGGGGCGGGCACAGCTGGCTCTGCCTCTGGATAGGCAGAGCCAGCTGTCATTCATGCAACTGGGTGGATCTCGACAGCATTGTCAGGATCCATCCTGGCTGTGGCACTCTCGGTATACCGTGAGCTGTAGCTCGCTATATACGGAGCTTTGGGTCATGGGAGGAGGCTAGTATATCCTCCCGTGACCCTTAAGAGAACTATGGGGGAAAACACTTACCCCATAGTTCTTTTAAATTAATACAAAATTAACAGGGCATCTTTGAACGTTCCAGCACCATCACAGCTCCTACAGTATGCAAGAACGAAAACTTGTATTGAAGTTAGTACTTACTTTCGTTTCACCAGCTATTGGAGCCACGTTGCAGACCTTCTTTGACCGTAAAGTGTTGATCACAGAACTTTTACCCACATTTGGATAACCAATAAATCCCACACTGATCTGCTTTTTGTCCGTATGCAGCTGTGACAAGGACAGGACAAGACAAAATGAAAATCTGGACAACCTTAAAGGCCAAACTACATTGAACTAACAAGTCTGAAATTGGTGGTGGTGCTGGGCTCTTATTCTAAAAACACATTTCATTACATAACTTGCCCAAGTTCTGTAGACTTAAAAAGGTGACATCACAATTTTTGACTGAAAATATAATGGATGGTTTGAACTGCCAAAAAGATTAGCTATGAAAAGCACCATTTGCATTTTTGGCACATAGAAGGGCTGGGGCTTTATAAAAATGAGCTTGGGGTGCCAGAAGATTCTACAGCTGACTCACCAGATAATCACTGTAAGTGCCTGTTCCTTTGAAGATCATCTGTTTTCTAGTAAGCATTACAACAATTAAGCCCTGTTTGAAATTGCCAAAATGTCGTACAACAGTTATCCAATACCTATGCCATGTAATAATTATTAAACACTCCTCTGCTTTTTAAAGGGGAATTATAAAAAAAAAAAAGCACACGATACAACTGAAGGTTAGCGTCATTAAAAGTACTGCGTGTTTCATGTCAAATGCTAATTTTACATAGCAATCACTGGACTGACATTCAGTTAGCCTTGGCGATGAGTGAGAAACTGCAACAATTACCAGAGAGAGAGAGAGAGAAGAAAAAAAAACCAAGGGAGAGATGGCAAAAAGATATCATAGGCTACAAAAGAGTCACACAGAGGGCAGCCAATAGTGCAAGAGCTGGAGCAGCTTACATGCAGCCCTGTTTATCTCTCATTCAGAACACTTTAGAAAAAAGGATTAACGCTATAAATTAAAGCCAAAGACATTGCATTTTCATTGACCATTTAAGTTTTATATTTTTTTTCCTTTTGCAGCCAAATTGGGATAACACCTATTTTATATTTGTTACATGTTCCCATTCACATCATATATAAAACAAAAATTTAAAAAGCAAGTTTTGAATATTTTTTAAGTGTTTTTTACTTGCTTAAAAATCCTACCTTGGTTCTCCTTATGTAAAGTTAAGGAGGGGGCTGGAGGGAAGTTATGTTTACACTGCCTGTACTGTGCTGGCAGGTTTCATTATCAGTTCTAAACTAGATTTGTACTAACAAATGGTTAAAGACTTAGAAGCCTTGTATATCAAGTGCAGTTTGTTCCTCAGTTTGTCCCTCTACTTTCACTGCCAAACTGCACAAAGGCCTTCACCAAATAAACATCTTAAAAAAAAAAAAAAAAAAAAAAGAGAAAAAAAGGGGTATGCTGTGTGAATTACAAAGGGTGTACCCATGTCACCAATATGGAAGCTTCATGGGTTTTCCAAGACCGCAAAGGTTTTTTTACAGAAAGTTTATATTACTTCATCACAACAGAGCCGGTGTCCAACTTGTCGACCTCTCCAACTGGCGACGACACATCCGGTGACTGCCAGGAGATCTACAGCAGATGGTGCTAGCATGCATGCCCTGAAAATCCTTTTCGAGCTGTCTAACTATTGCCACAGCGCCTGCACGGCTATCCACTTCTATAACCTACTCAGTTATATTTGTCCTAGGTTATAGAAGCTGATGAGCCGTGGCTATTGCCTCATCGGATTCTAACCTAGTCAAAGGTTATATTATGTTAGGCCCTGTTCACATATAGCGAATTGTCGCGCGATTTCCGCCGCGATATCGCGAGAAGTCGCCGGCCAATGTTATTCAATGGAGCTGTCTTAACTCCGCGTCGCGGTCGCAAGTCGCTTCTACCGGACCCTTTTTTCGGCGGATTTTGCTTTTTTTCTATGGAGCCCGACGGGGAAGGTCGCGCTACCGTCGCTGGAACGTCGCCCCGAAAGTCGCGCTATCCCGGCCGTGCGGATCCGCTGCAAAAGGTATGTCGCTATATGTGAACGGGGTCTTACAGCGCGGCCACACGATTCTTTCTACAACCACAGTTCCCACTGTGGCAGCGCGGCTGTCAGCTTCTATAACCTAGGACAAATATAAAAGTTTGACCTAGGTTATAGAATCCGATGAGCCACTAGCTGCGCAGGCGCAGTGGCAACAGTTAGACAGTTTGACAAGGATTTTCTGCCCATGCGCACTAGCTCCATTTGCTCTACATCTCCTCCTGGCAGTCACTGGGTGTGACGTGCCCAGTCGGAGAGCTTGACAAGTCAGAGCTTTCGATAGAACACCGGCACTGAGGGATGAGGATGGAGTGAGTCACTCCTCCGACTGATTTAGACCACATTAACCCTGAGTTACAAGCTTTTTCAGCACTTATTTGAGCTGAGCAACATTGAGCTACAGTGCACATTTTGTTGCACTACGTAGCGCTTCTTTTGGCAGTCTATCAAAGCCTATTGGGGCCAAATCGCACAAAATCAACTGGAAAAATAGTTGGAGCAACAAACTTGAGCTACAAGCTACAGGCGACATTGAGCTGTGAGATGTGAACATTGAGTGATTTTTGAGCGGAAATCGCGCTACAAATGGCTCAGTGTGAACGGGGTCTTAGACCCCCATTCACACTGAGCGTTTTGTAGCGCTTTTCCACTCAATCAGCAGCTCCATGGAACTTATCCAATGCATTTCAATGGAGCTGCTCACATCTCACAGCTCAATGTCGTCTGTAGCTTGTAGCTCAAGCTTGTCGCTTGTAGCTCAAGCTTGTCGCTTGAACATGACCTATTTTTCGGCATTTTCATGCGATTTGGGCCAATGGACTTCAATGGTGTAGCTCAATGTCGCACGAATTTGCGCAACATTGTCGCGCTACAGAAGTGTCACTTTTGCACAGAAATATAAGCAGGAAACAGGAAGAGGAATTATGTCACATCAAGACTGCTTTTGATTGGAGAAAGCCCAATGTAGCAGCTACGAAGTCCATGCCAAAAGAAGCGCTACATAGTGCGACAATACACTGTAGCTCAATGTCTCTCAAAGTCGCTCAGCTCAAATCAGCTTTTTCTGATGTAGCTCAGTGTGAATGTGGTCCAAGTTGCGCGTTTAACTTTGACCTTGAGCTATGTAAACATCCTTGTCATTTAACAGAGCAGTTAAGAATATGTAAAAGAAATGCAGTGTTACAACTGTAGAAAATAAACTAAAATATTTATATGCAATATTTTATATTTTATACTCAGCCTTGCATTACCTTTCCAAACTGTCTGAGAAGCTGGATGAAAGCCCCTTTACCAAATGAATTGGTAAGGCTGGAGTGAAAAGCCAACGTTGGATACTCTTCAGATAAACAGGCAACCCAGCGTTTCTGAAAGAGAACAGATTTTCATCATATGTTTCTATTTCACGGTCTATTTCAGCACCTCTAAGATTCTACCTTCAGACCGCATTATATATTAATGCAGATGTCCCAGACCGCTTTGAAAAGTACCATTAAAAAAACTAGTATTTGAAGCAGAATTAAGCCTCCCACTTTAATTGAAAATACAAATAGACTGCATCTCTACTTCTAAAGAAAGCAGATTTGGCCTTGAAACCATTAAATATTTTCTTGCAAGATGAATTAAGATTTCCAATTATTTTTGAAGTGGGATCTAAAGGCAAATTAAAAGTATCTATAAAATGTGGCTCTTCAATAAATGCTTTAACCTGGGGATTGTAAAACCCATGTTCATGCAAAACAAGAGAACTACCCGCAGCAAAACTCTGCTAAATGTCAAAGCCCTGCTGTGCTCTTAAAACATTCCAATTAATTTACACTAATACAAGACAGAAAGACATTGACAGCCTTTCTGAGTTAGTCTTATTACTAATAACATTTATAAAAATTGTATAGAAGACAGAAATTTGTTTTTACATCTCTTACATCAAGTCACTACAGTCACTTCCTTAGCAAAAATGACAATCCTTTAGAAGCACAGAGAAACACCTGCACATACCTTTGTGATCCTGTACTCCTTAGGAGCCCCAGAACTTAGGGCTTTTACTATGCAAGTATCAACTTTCTGGTGCAAGTTTGGAGCTTTGGCAGAACAATTCACCCTCTTCACAATAAAAAAAAATACACCACGGGTAAGAAAGCGTGGTAATATACACTATACGGTTGAAGTGACACTAAATTTAGGAGATTAAATCTTAAAAATACATTCAAGTACCTTAACTATTAACAAAAATGTATCTTATTTGTGTATCACTCGGCTGTAGATCCTCAAATCATCTCTGAGTTCATGATGACACTGTCCTTCCTTCTGGAGGGTAACTACTTTTGTTCCCCATGGTCCCCAAGTGTGTTTCAATGTAGCCACCGCTCCAAGCTCGCTCCTGTGATAGACTACAATCTCAATACAAATTGGTAAACAAAATGTAAGATTGTAGTCCATCACAGGAGTGTGCTTGGAGCGGTGGCTACTTTACAACACACACAGGGACCATGGGGAACAAAAGTAGCCACCCTCCAGAAGGAAGCACAGTGTCAGCACCAATTCAGAGAAGATTTGAGGCTCTACAGCTTGAGTGATACACAAATAAGATAGTTTTTTTTAATTGTCATTTAGTATCTCCGAGAATATTCCATAACTTTAAACATTACATTGCACCATTTCATCCCATGGCTAATGTAACAGTACATAAAAAGGCTCCGCTCCGGCTGCGGCGTCTCAGTATACCGCGAGCTGTAGCTCGCGGCATACTGAGCTTAGGGTAACGGGAGGACGCTAGTTTGTGTCCTCCCGTTACCCTGAGAACACTGACCCCATAGTTCTCCTTTAATAGTTAAGGCACTTGAATGCATTTTTAACATTTAACTCAGAGTTTAGTGTAACTTGAAAGCCCATTTCCACCTTTGCAGAGGTATTTTTAACAAACATATGCCGGCAATGTACACATTGTATATGAAGTAGGCATATGCAGCTGCTGTGTCTGAACACACAAACGTACTTTTTGCTAGCTTTCCTCTCCATCTCATGTAAAAATGTCTGCCTGTGTTTTCAAGCTCTTTTTCACCGCTCCCATTTATTTGTATACAGAGTCCCCAAACACTTCAACGTCATGCCCTCCCAAAAGTGTGGAGGCTGTTATAGTTGCAAAAAAGGGAGGGAGGAGTATAACACTAATACCTTTAGAATAGGGATGTCCACTAGGATCATATAGGTGGGATGGTCCGGTCTCTAAAAATGTTTGCCCATATATACCGTATCACTGAAGGATGCGGGTGGGAGAGAAGGTGCTTCCATTTTAACATAAAGCATGTGCAGGCAAGTTTGTTAGGAAGTGAGAGGTTTGCTTTAAAAGCTTTTTTTTTTTTTTTTTTTTTTTTT